ATATATATATTTCAAAAAAACAAAGTGGTATTTGGCAGATGCCCAATTACCGATTTCTCATGCGCTAAACGTCATGATGAAAGCCCGCAGAGCCCGCGTCATGTGCCTAAATATTTGAGAACCCAGCACCACTGGGGATCGAGCCCGTGTCTTCGAGCCCGTGTCCTGAGGGGACTTACAGTGAACCCTGCCAACCAACAGGCTATGACTTGCGGCGCGGGCGCGCGTGCACACACAAATATATATATATATATATATCAAAAAAACAAATTGTTTTTTTGTAGATGCCCAAATACCGATTTCTTATGCGCTAGGCACCATGATGAGAGTCTGCGTCATGTGCCTAAATATTTGAGAACCCAGCACCACTGGGGATCGATCCCATGATCTGAGGGGACTTACAGTAAACCCCACCAACCAACAGGCTACAGGTTGCGGCGCACACTCACACAATAAATATTGAAATTTTGATTTTTCACATATATAATAGTTATCCGTCCATGAAACGAGGTATTCACGTTTTAGATTAATAATAATTATATTTTAATAAATACATAAAATTAAAGTGTTAGAAATAAAAAAAGAAAAATTAAAATATATATATCACCTATATAAATATAAAAATTATATGATCTGTATCTAAATCTCCCTTCATTTTAGCTTTGAACATTTGATCGCAGAAACAGCAACTATATTAAAAATGGAATTTAGCTATTTCCCACTCAAGATAAATTTTAAAACATTAATTTATTATATTTATTTATCTTTAAGAAAATCAAATAATTTACTTTTTTTATTTTAATATAGGCTGTGTGGGAAAAAGGATCGGTCCCAAAATATTCGGAAAACCCCTCGAAAAATCGGTATTTATTTTATCACTTAAATTATTTTTCTTAATATATTGCTTGATAAAATATTTCAAATATCATTATATGTTGCAGAGAGTCCCTGAAGAAATATATCGGATTCTGGAAGAAGCTGACGTCAAAATTCCGCTGTTTGGCTCTGACGCTCCAGAATCTCTGGAGGAATTTCTTGCAGAAATGAAAACCAGTAAATCCGATGCAAAAGCGTTTGCATTAAGGCTTAAGGCTCTGGTATTATTTCTAATTCATTAATAATAATTGGGGGAAATGACATGGAAAAATATTACATCTGGACTCCAAATGTAGAGCTACGTTTAAATTGCAATAGTTAGAAATATCTCATTGTGTTACGGGAATATTTTATCTATTTTATTTGTAAAAAATTAAATGTTATTTGAAAATTATATGGTATTATCCGATTATTTTGCGGTGTTATTAGAATATTTCCTCGCGTTATTTGATTTAGGGTTGTGTTATTCGGCATATTCCCCGTGTTATTTCAATTTTCACTATGTTTTTGGAATGACACGGCCCCAAATTAAGTAACACGAGGGAATATTTCAATAACACTTCAGCCCCAAATCAAGTAACGCGGGGAATACTACAATAATACCGCAAAATAATCGAATAACATCATATAATACTCGAATAACACTTTATTTTTTATAAATAATGTAGATGAAATATTCCTGTAACAGAACGAGATATTCTTAACTATTCCAATCCAAACGTAGCTCTACATTCGGAGTCCCAAATACATACAAATCACATAATACTTCTCATGTATTTACTATCTATCACCTAAACATTCGTTTTTTTACATGTCTGCCACTCATATGCTTAACATCACATTAAAATTAATATCTTCATCATTATATTTTTAAAAGTGAAATATACTTTCATGCATACATTTATGACACCAAAATGTTATAATTCTAAATATCAAACTTTCTGTGTCAGATAATAATAGCTAATTTGAAATTGATTCTTAAACAAGCATTTATGTGCTTGAATGGCTCAAGGTTCATAAAGTTGTTATATATTTTAGGTGTATTTTTATAAAATTTTGAGTACAATATAACAGTTAGATGAGTGAAGATGATTGACTTATATAGTCTTTAGCCAGTATTTATTGAAACAACCAATAAGAATTAGAAAATTATAATCAAGCTTGTTAGTTGATTAATTAGAAGAAATAATACTACTAGAAATACGATTAGAGATATAACAAAGGATGTGCAGCGTACATTAGATGTTGCTACACATGAAAAATTTGTAAATTTGAAAACAAATTCAGATCTTTTTTTTTTTTTCTAAATAATTCTCATTTGTTGTTCTTGAAGCCATGCTGCATTATAGTTGTAAATGGTAAATAACATCATATTTTTTTAAGGGATTTAAGTATATCACAAAATCTTATATATACATTTGTATATATAATATCTAAATTTTTATATCTTCTTACATATCATTTTAGTGCTTAGATAATAACAAAGTATATACCAATATATGATGTTTTTTATGCTAAATTAGTCGAAGAAAGTTGATACATCAAAAACAAATTCATCATCCGACACAATTTTAAAGCGGGACACAAATCTTGGGACAAGTTTTTAGCAAGAAAGGTTCAAAATCATAAACTTATAATTAAACTAACCGTATCAACGAGACAAACACAATGACACTAAAGTTGGTCCAATTCGAGTTAAATCAAGTCTATATCAAGTCATCAAGTCATCTTTGGCAGCTTCAAATACTCAATTAGAATGTCAAATGAATTTCAAATATGATAAACTTATAATCGAATCAAGTATCTAAACAAAAAGAATAAAGTGAGTCGAAGATCACTCAATTCCAATATTATTAAGGCATTCAAATATTTACACAACGTTGTCCAATTAAGAAGATCTCGTTAGGTTGTCCGATAAAGTTGCTTGGATTCTTTTCTTGCTTTTAGGAAGGTCTTTCCTAGTCCTTATAAATTGAACTCTACCCATTTTTGTGACAGGGGGTGTAGACCTTGAATTAGAGGAATCCCAAGACTTGGAGAAGAATGAGTCGAGATTCGATGTTCCACATTGAATATCCAACGAACATCACCCGCTTTTGCAATCACAAGACAACATTAACCACCGCTCACCGTTGACCACCACCGACCACCCTCTGCTTATCATAATGAAGCCCCTTATGAAATCACAACGCACACTACGTAATCCTAAATACGATGCAAAGTAACAAAACATTGTGTTGAGTAACAACTAGATTTATAAAGTAAGGAAAGCATTCTACGGAGCAATGCATTTCGAAGATGGTATAACAATGCACACTGATTACAATATAGTGGTGTCCTCACATATGATGCAATAATGCCTCTCAAAGATTATGTAACAATGCATCTCGAAGATAGTATAACAACTCCTTGAAGATGGTGAAAAACATACCTTGCATATGACATAGCAATGCACTCTAATAATAGTGTAATAACACACCCCAAAGATAGCGTAGCAATACTCCTTAAATATGACACAACAATAAACCAAGCATACGGTGCAACCATGCCTCCCAAAGATGTTGTAACAAGGCATCCCATAATAACTTCTTACAACTACTACCATGACTTTAAACTATGATGTTTATGACATGTTGGTGCTACAACAACCTTATACAACATTCACAAATTGACTATTGTCTGCATAGCAATCGACTATGGCTTTCACGACCCTTATAACTGTTATTATTGAAATACAATTGTACATCAACTTTATAATTTTATTTCCCTAACTCAGGAAAAGAGTGAGTTAATGTACTCATCATTTTATAATACCTTATTTCAATTTATCTAAGCCTAGTGGTTTTTTCATCTTTTAAAAATTTTCACATAAAAATTATGGTGTATCTATGTGTCACTTTAGTTTCCTGAGTATGTACTGAATTTTTGTGCAATTATAAAATATTAAATAATCACTATATTATCGTGAATCTTTTGACACACATATGTTTGGTGTCATATGTAGGAAGTGAAGTCTCTCTCAACGCTTTCTTCAAGTCTGATATGCTTAGCTTATATTTTGTCTGCTAATGATATGCATCATCCAACTAGAAAAGGAGCCATTTTTGTGCCTTTTCAAGACCATTTATTTGCATTCTTCAATATGGTGCACAACCTTCGTTGTAATCTCCAAAGTTCTAACGTCCCTGACATGAATGTGGTGGGGCAGTCTTCCCGCATCTTATTCAGACAAAAAATATATGAAAACTACTTCTACACTAAGTAGTAACCTTCATTGCAGTCTCAAAATGTCATTCATGTTAACATCTCAGGCACAATTGTGGTAGGGTAGCCATTTCACACCTCATTCAGATGTGAAGTCCTCGAGAACTATTTTTAAACTTAGCGAAAAACTTCATTGCAAAGAGCACTTTTTCATCATCCCCTCATTGTACTGAAGTTTCTCATTAACTGGATTAAGAAGCCAATATCTTCAAGGTTTGATACACATGCTACTTTACATGCTCATGTGGACAATGCCCCCATCGAGGGACAACAAATTTAAGAATAATAACAAAAAGTTATCAAATGTCATCCTTGAATATGTTTGCATCTATATTTAAAAAATAATATGGTTTAATTCAACCAACGCCTTATTCTACCTAAGAGACTCAATTCGACATCTTCTATTACTTTTTACTATCACCAATTAAAAGCATCGGCAAATAGCCTCAAATAAGTCAAAAATTCTTAGTGGATTTCACATGATTTTGCCAATCACAGGTTAATGACATTAAGAGAATGCTCTGGCTATGCAACATAGGATGAGTACTACATCATTAAAAGGATTTCCTTTTGACTTAATTTTAATACATGTTACCATCATCAAACATCTCTAGCTATACAACCTAGGACAACTTTTAAATAACTTAAGGATTATAACTAACTTCTTCTACTATAGGCAATGGTCCTTAAGTGGATGAACTCTGACCATACAACTTATACAATCAAACATTCTTAGCGATGGCCCAAAATTTTGGTGACATCGGCTCAAAAGATTCACAACGAAATCTTGTAAATGCATAAGAGATGGGAAAACCACAACTCAAAAGGAAATGCAAAAGCAACATCGACAACAATGTCAAATTTTTTGCTATACCAAGCAAAATAAAGATGTATAGACAAATATATTGTCGTACTATACGAATGTCATATCAACCGAGTGAGCTACAATGACCAAGACTATCTAGAACAAAGACTACAACTATTGCAAAATCCTTCTCATCGTTAAAAGGATATTGTTGATCTTTGTATGCTCGTTTTCTATGCCCTTAAGAAAGGAAAAACTCACCTTCAAATGGTGTCGGCTTTGCTTCCTCAAAATGTTGGTACTTCCGTAGATTTTTAAGGGATGGAATTTTTCAAATATCAACATCATAATTGCTCTCAACTCCAACTACCATGACAATTGGAAGTTATTACAACTCATATAGTTGTCAACTTTTCTTATGTTGCATACTTCTATTATCACAACTCATGCAGTTCTTAACTCTGACCTCTATAGCGTACATATGTTATCACAATGCAAGCAACTCCCAATTCTACTCTTTGCGTCCTACGGTCTTAGTGGTTGGCGAACATCACAATTAATGTAGTTCTGATTCAGCCTCTATGACTTACATGTGTTATCATAACTTGTGCAGCTCTCAACTTCGACTTCTATGGCCTACGAACATTATCACAGCTTTTGCAGCTCCAAACTCCAACATCTGCACCATATGGATGTTGTTACAACTCTCTGTTATGACCTATGTGACCAATTACGATCTACACAACATCTCTGAACTCTGACCTCTGTAGTCTATTAACGTTATTACAACTCTTTACTACGACCTCTATGAATAAACCACACTTCTAAAGGAATTATCTACGACCTATATGACTAACACTATCCTGGCTTAAAACTACGAGCTCTATTACAAGCTCACACTACAACCACTGTCAACAACATTCACAGCGGACCACTACCTCCATAAAAATAGACAACGGTCTTCACGACATTACGACTATTATGGTTGAAACACTATTGTACATCAATTTTGTAATTCCATTTTCCCTAAATGAGGACAAGAGTGAGCATGTGCACTCATAATCACATAGTAGATTATTTCAATTGGCCTAGACCTCATCCTTTTCTACCCTTTTCTAGGATTTTCCACGTAAGAAAACATGGTGTCTCTATATGTCATTTTAATTACCTGAGTGTGTTGGATTTTCGTGGAATGTTAACACACTAATTAATCATTCTACAGTCGTTAATCTTCCTACATGCATGGAAATTAATATTTTTTGTGCGTTTTAGAGGTTGAATGGTATATATAGAAATTTAAAAATGTAGGTGTTAGATATATTAGCTAGTAATAAATTTATGTAAATTTTTTAAATCCTTTAAAATTTATTAAGTATTTTCTGGGATCAATTTTATTTTTTATTTTTATTTTTATTTTTTTCTTTTGTTTTTAAGAATATATTTTATTGATGATTTCTTATAGAATTTTATTTTTTATTTCTAAAATAAATTAGTATGTTTTTGAAAAAGAAGTTTTATGTATTTAAACACATTAAAAAAATTTAGTTGTGTTTAATGTTTTTAAAATAATCATACCTTAAATAAATAGTAAAAAATATTTTATTTTAAATTAAATATAAATAAGAAAAATTAAAAATAAAAAAACAAAAAATAAAATCAAAATGAATCCTAAAGGGCCTCTAATATACTCTCTATTTCTTGGTGAGGAAATCATTACTTTAAACTCTCGTGCTACTTAACTTTTCCAAAAAATTTCAAAAAAATGTCTTCGATTATAGTAACAGCTTCCCGTAGGTGGCCTGCCATCTTATATAAATACGAGTACAATAATCTTTTATAAATTATTTGATATGATTTCTATGAGAAATTATTATAAAAAAAAAACAAATAAAAATTTTCTTCATTTATTAAGGCATTTATATAATTGAGAAAATCTACAAAATAACAATTGTTTTTATCAAATTAAGAAAATTAATTTGGGAACAAATTGTAGCGATCTATTAAATTTTGGCATATGAAATTTCTATTATTTATTTATTTTTTTGGAAAACCGCTGATATATAATATAAAAAAGCTTACAAATATATACATTTGAACAATATGAATTCAAATAATTATTCTATTTAGAGCATTTCTTTTAAATTAGTTTTAAAATAAATGCAAATATTATATTGTTAAAAATTTCGATCATTGTTACATGCAAACAAATCGTTCTGCAACTCTTCCAAATTCTTACAAACTGGCTCCCACCAGATCAAGCTTCTGGAACAGAAAACCCGCATCGCCAAAATCCAAGAATTCCTCTACCGCCACGTAGCATCCAGCAGCATCCCCAAAACCCTACACTGCCTGTCCCTCCGCCTTGCCGCCGAGCACTCCACGAGCGCAGCCGCACGAACCCCTCTCCCTCCCCCCGAACTTGTGCCAGCCACCAGATCAAGCTTCTGGAAAAGAAAACCCGCTTTGCCAAAATCCAAGAATTCCTCTACCACCACGTAGCATCCAGCAGCACCCCAAAACCTTACACTACCTCTCTCTCCGCCTCGCCAACAAGCACTCCACCAGTGCAGCCTCACGATCCCCTCTCCCTCCCTGCCAGCCCTCGTCGACAACTCCCGCCACCACTTCGTCCTCGCCTCCGACAACGTTCTCGCCGCCGCAGTCGTCGCATCCTCCCTCGTCCACCACGCACTCCTCCGCAACTCCGTCGTCGTACACATAATCACCGATCGCAAGACCTACGCGCCTATGCAGGCTTGGTTCGCGCTCCATTCGCTTGCGCCCGCCGTCGTGGAGGTCCGAGCACTCCACCACTTCGACTGGTTCGCGAGGGGGCGAGTGCCGGTGCTGGAGGTCATGGAGAGGGATCGAGAGGCGAGGTCTCAGTTTCAAGGAGGGTCTGCTGCTATCTTGGCGAGTGAGACGGAGAAGCCGGTGGTGGTGGCGGCGAAGCTTCAGGCGTTGAGTCCCAAGTATTACTCCATTATGAATCATATCCGGATTTACCTACCGGAGGTATGTGTATGGCTTCTGAGATAACTTCATTTAAGCGAAGTTTACATACATCCCACATATTTAACATTAAGCTTTATTTTTTTGCATTTATATCAGTTCAATCATTCATATTACATACAAGATAATGTCATTTTAACTTAAAAAAAAAGTGAACCATACTTTTAGTGCATATGCAAGTTGGCATGTGTATAAAGATTGAAGTTTAGGAGTTAGATATGTAATGCATAGGTATTGAGTGGTATGCATGCAAATCTTTCTTTTTTTTTATTTAGTTTGGTAAATTTATGCTTGGAATAAACATGTTTTATTTGAGAAAAAGTTGACAATGGTAATGTTTGTTTGAAAAATGTCGACGAACCTCATTCGATCGACTACCCTAGCCAATCTGCTGGCCACATTGCCGGATGGACTGAGCAACGAAAAGATGCCAATGAAGACAATAATAATATATTAATTCCAGGAGCATGATAACCAGTCCAGTAGGAGCATAATGATGGATCTACTAGAAATGCCAATAGTAGCAGAGATCGTCGTCCGACCGACCCACAGTGAAGGCTTCAACCTACAAATTCTCCTTTTGTTGAACGGAGATCTTATCAAACGACCCTCCTGAATGCCCGACCGGTAGCACCTCTGGCCGACCGCCTCACTGCTCTGGCCAGCCGCATACCTCCGAAGGCCCAATCTCAAATTAAGGGAAGATTTACATGCATACTACTCAATTCTTATATACTTGTGTATTTACATAAATACCACTCAATTCGTTTGTGCTTCCAGCAAGCAACAAGCTACCCTCCGGCTGCCAGCAAGCCACCCTCTGGCAGGCAGACCACTTCTTCAAGGCGATCACCTGCCTCTGACCGGCTGTATGTCTTCGACTAACCATGTTAAATCCAAGGAAGATTTACATACCTACCACCCAATTCTTATGTATTTATGTATTTACATAAATATCACTTAATTCGTTTGTGCTTTCAACAAACCACTCTCCGACCAACCGATGTTTTGATCGCCTCCGTCAGACAACCTGCTTTCGGCCTATCACCTGCCTGCAGCCTGCTGTATGCCTACGATCGGTCATCACAAATCAGGATGACCGAAATTCCCTAGCGATTGAAATATCCAGGTGACCAAAAATGTCGGGCGATCGAAAAACCTTTCACTGATAATATATAAATATGCCTTTTTTCAATATATATATATATATATGTTAAAAAAAAAATCGGTATTTGGCAGAGGCCCAAATATTGATTTCCCATGTGTTAGGCCCCATAATGAGAGTCCACGTCATGTGCCTAAATATTCGAGAATCCATCGCCACTGAGGATCAAACCCGTGACTTGAGGGAACTTACAATGAATCCCGCCAACCAACAGATCACGGGGCTCGATAGAGACTCGAAGAACTCGAAGAACTCGAAGAGTTCACAGGTGTCTACATCCAAGTCGACGCTCGAGAAATTCGAACTGACCAAGAAAATCAAACACTCACCTTTGGAACAAGCAAATGAAGGACTCCCATCCGGAGCGAGCAAATTAAAGCCTTCTTTCCTAGGCAAACAAATCTAAGTCTCCCTTCGGGGAGAGAAAATCAATGACTCCCCTCTAGGGTGAGCAAATTAAAGACTCCCTTTCGAGGCGAGCAAATCAACTAATGTCAGTATTAATTATTGAGTAACTATCGTTAACAAATAGCCCGATAGAGGTAAAATGCTAAAATAAAGGTGAAAAACAACAAAAAATATCACCTCACTTGCATATTCACAAAGATTACAAAATATTTTTATGTGTTTTTCTTAAAAATATTAAAAAAATAAAATAAACCTATTTATTAAGTGGCAGATGAAGCCAACAAAACTGGCCAAAGGTCACCTCAACCAGCCGAACGTCAGATAGCCGACCGACAAAGCAAATAAAAAATCGATCCGAAAAAGTTTCAAGAGAGCATTTCAAGACCAGAGAAAACAGGGTGTTAGGAAACACTGAAATTAAGGGAGTATGATTATCACATTTGCATTTTCGTCTTTTAAATTCTTTCATTCTTATCGCAACTTGACTTCCTAGAAGCAAGTGACTTAAGGGCATGTTTTATGTCCGAAAAATGCAAATGATAGTAGAGACCAAGCAACCACCCTAACCAACCGGTTGACCACATTGCCGGATGGACCCAACAAAGAAAATGTGCCAAGGAAGACAATAACATTCAGTAACTTCCACAAGCATAATAACCGGTAACTCTCAAGAGAATAATAATTAATAACTCTCAAGAACATAATAATTTGTAACTCTCAAGGGCAATGATGTAATTTTCTAAATACCATCTATGATTTATAAATAAGATGATTTTTTTCATGTGAAAAGGGTTGTTTGGGCTTTCCAGCCATTTAGTCATTATTCTCTTCTTCTCTTGTAATAATAATTTCTTACAATATATAAAATGGGTCCAAGAGCACGGAAAACACCCCCACTCCTGAATAATTATCCCGAACCGTTTGGGCTTTCTAATCACTCCTTTTTCTCGGTCTCGCTCCTTTTCGTTCCCTCGATGCCTATGCTTTATGCCTTGTCATAGAGCATGGTCTTCATGGCAAATTTGGATTCAATTGATGATATTTTTAATATAGTATTAAAACATTGAATGATATTTAAATAAATAAAAAATTTTAGGTATTAGATATGTAAATTTTTTATATGACCTTCCATATTATATCTTTACTCAAATTGCACCCAATTTTGCTCAACGAGGGCGCACTTGAAGCGGTCAAGGAAAAATATAAAGTTGAACCAAAATAAATGTTTGCTTTGATACTTAAAAATTTTTTTAACTCAATTTCCAAAAAAAAAAAAAACCTAATTTTTATGTTTTTTTGTATATCCGAAAAATGCCCGCGTGAATCTAGATGAGTGACGATGGTAGTAGAGACTGCCCAACCACCTCATTCTGCCAGCCAACCCAATCAAACGACCGACCACATTGTCAAATGGACCCACCAATGAAAAGATGTCAAATATACAAAAATATGTCAGATATATGAAAAGATGCATGTGAAGACAATAATAACTTGTAACTCTCAGAGATAATAATAATCGATTACTCCGATGAACAATAATAACTTGTAACTTACAGAGACAATGATAAATGGTAACTTCCAGAGATATAATAACTTGTAACTCCTAGGGGTATGATGTAATTTTCTAAATACCTCCTATGGTTTATAAAGCAGAGGTTCTTTGTCATGTAAATGGGAGAATGCCATTTGGGCTTTCTATTCATTTAGGCAATACTCTTTTATTTTCTTGTAACAACTTTTTTCAATACATAAAATGGATCTGAGAGCCCGGAGAACACCGTAAATTTGTATCGCTGGGGGCAATCATTGTGTCACTCATTTATTCTCTCTCGCTCTTTTTCTCTCCTTTGGTCCCTACGCTCTATACCTTCGGCATGGTCTACAGGACAAATATGAATCCAAAACTTTTATTCTATTATTTGTAAAATATTTTATTATTATTATTTTTTCTTATACATTCATGATAATTATTTGCATTGTTATTAACAAATCATATAATTTGCTGTTATTTGATTTAATAAAAATATTATGTGCTACTTTTTGAAGCCCTTTTTATTAATAAAAATATATATATTTTTTGACTCTTATTTTTTTTCTGTAATACTTAAATCAATTGTTTGCTATTTTACAATAATACTCGACTACTTGTAACAAATATTTTTGTGGATAAAAGAATCTTAGTTAAAGATAAATGTTTATACTGCTTTTTTATGAAAATCTATGAATTGTTTGTCGCACAATTATTGAATTATGCGTATTTTTTTCCCAAAAATTATTGTATGATTCATAATTTAACATTTACTGCCGATACTAATGTAGCATTAATTGCCTTCTCTTGTTCGTAACATGGCAGCTATTTCCAAGCCTTAAAAAGTTGGTATTTCTTGATGATGATATCGTAGTCCAAGCTGATCTCTCACCTCTCTGGGAAATTGATCTCCAAGGCAAAGTTAATGGCGCTGTTGAGACCTGCAGAGGTGAGGATAAGTTCGTCATGTCCAAGAGGTTCAAAAACTATCTAAACTTCTCCCACCCTTTGATCTCAAATTCATTCAATCCTGAAGAATGCGCTTGGGCCTTTGGCATGAATATCTTCGACCTCGATGCCTGGAGGAAAACAAATATCAAAGAAATATATCATGAATGGATTCAAAAGGTATTATTCCACAAGATACATGTTTATTAGGATGTTATGATTACAAATTATTCATGATATGTTTAAAAGTCCTTGATATTTTTTAAAACTATTATATATATGATTATTAGATTAAACCAATCTTACTATTAAACTATTATGAAGTATTTGTGTTTATGATGTGAAAATTTTTTAATATATTATATGATATTAAAGAGTTTAATAAAAATCTAGAGCGACTGTCTTTCCTTGCACTCATCTCGAAGTAGTTTTAGACCTTTAAGGCTCATATTGTTCTTTTTTTTTAATTATTCCTTAACCTATTTTGCGCATTTATGCATGCCTGCATATGCTCTTTATTTTGTAGAACTTGGAATTGGACTTGAGCTTGTGGCAATTAGGGACTTTGCCTCCGGGTCTCATAGCATTTCAAGGTCATGTTCATATAATAGATCCTTATTGGCACATGTTGGGGCTTGGATATCAGGAAAATACGACTAAAGACGTTGCTCAGAAAGCTGCTGTAATTCATTTTAATGGCAGGGCCAAGCCCTGGTTGGAAATTGCTTTTCCTCAACTTAGGCCTCTTTGGACAAATTACATAGATTTCTCAGACAGATTTATTAAAGCTTGTAACATAAGGCCGTAGTTAGAGAAGTGCACATAGCATTTTGTAAGTGGTTTGTGGGGGTTTTGAACAAAAGGTTGATTTTGATGAGGAGAAAGGAGATCAGGGAGATTTGCTTGTTCAAGGCTGGAGATGGAAGCTGTGCTTAGAGTGGGCTTTAATTTTGTGAATTTCCAGCACTGGAGTGCATACTTTAGATCCTTTGTTAGCTCATTTGTTTCATCAATTTTCTTAGTTGAGAGAATACTTAATTACTAGGAGTGATTCTTTGCTGTATTCATAGTAATGTAATTTACAAAGATCTGTAGAAGAATGAATAAGAATTTTAACTACTGTTTTTTTCACTTATTGCTTCTATGAGCTCTGAAGTGACAGACATCACTTATTTTCTGTACAATTTATGTAATACATATTATAATATTTATAATACAGCAAGCAAATATGCAAGGAAAGAGAATATACTCCTATTATAGAAAGAAATAATATTGTATAATATACATTAGTAGAATATAAATTATTCCTAACTTAATGGCCGACTAAATTAAATCTATTTTCTGTTTTGATGTTTGATTTTGAGGGATCTTCCATTAATGCTCATCTTAATCTTAATGCTTCTCCTTTAGTTAGAGCATATGTATCTTGCATGCCCAACTTATCAAGTGAGCATTTAAAAACTTGCTTGAGACCACCCTGGTGAATATGTTAGCTAACAAATCTTTTTCGTTTTACAAATAGAAATTAGATTATTTTGGCTTCAAGTTTTTCTTCGAGGAAATGCTAATATAATTCAACATATTCTACTTGATTGTGTTTAGGGTTTAGGGATGGATAAACAAGATTGTATGTGATATCATTAACTGTTTTATTGTTGCAAAATAATTTCATTACGAAGTTGGGATGGATAAACAAAATTTTCCATTAATCCTTTTAGCCATAGTAGCTCATAAAACCCTTAACCGTATCTCTAAATTCAACATTTATATAAGATAAAGCCATCAACATCCATTTCATATCATAAATCTTAGGCAAGGCAGTTTCTTCCCAATCAACATCTATATATCCATTAATGTTTAGACAAGATTTTTTCTTAAATGAAATTCCCTTTTGTGGTGAGGATTTTAAATATTGTTGGATTCGTAGTACTACATTCATAGGATTTTCACTTAGTACTGTCACATGATCTTCACTTGGATGTGCATGAATCGGTTTACTAATATTATGAAATATGCAATATCAGGTTGAGTGGAACATACATATCTACTTTTTTTATAGCCACTCTATTGAAATTTGCTATTTCTGATGTCTTTTTTTTTTTGTGATTTTTTGTCAAAATTCATTCCTTTTGAAATCTTTAGACGGAAATGAATTCCTTGTCCATTACAATTAAAGAAGAAGCAAAAAAAAAAAAAAAAATGCTACAATTAAAGAAGAAGCAAAAAAAAAAAAAAAAATGGCATATTTCCCGCAAAAAATTCATCGAAAAATTGCTCAAATATATTGTTAGGATTAGATGTGAGAATTGCTGCTAGTTTGTCAGATTATTAGGAAATTTTTCATAAATTTCCATCATAAAACCAACTATAACTTATATAAGATGGAGACGACGACTAGGTTTACCTTCTGCTCTGGCGATTTTGGTTTCTCCTCGTTTCTGCGTGTGATGGCCGGTGAGATCCTTCCTTTTGCTCGATTTTATTACGTTTGCTTTCGATCTTTGGAATGTCTACTGCTGCTTGATCTTTCGTTGAGGCGGTTTTAGATGCGGGTGGAGGGCCATCCGACACTCCCACCACCTGCTTTTTTACACAAGATTTTCATGATACTTTGAATGTTGGAGGGGATTATACCTTTGTTAAGAAACTTGGGAAAAGGAATGGGAAGCTTGCTATGTTTATCACTGATGTTGAGTCTTCGATTCTGGTTTCTTCCTGTCGATTAGCGTTGGTTAGTAAATTCATGTATGGGCATCCTAAAGTTGATCTAATTCGAAGGGAGTTTGAAATGCTTAAGCTTACAAGCTGGTAGAAGGTTGGGATTTTGGATGGAAGGCATATATTGATTTAACTTGCTAATGATGAGGAATACACCAGACTTTTTGCTAATAGGTTTTTGAGAATTGATAATCGTGTTATGAATTTTTTGAAATGGTCTGTTAATTTTGATCATAAAATTGAATTACCGGTTATACCTGTTTGGATCAGATTCCCAGGTCTTAAATTACATCTTTTCAATTATGAAATTCTCTTTTCTTTGGCCGCAGCTTATGGTAAACCATTGAAAATGGGTAGTGTCACCTTTGCTATTACTAGGCCCTCTGAAGCTCGTGTCCTAGTTGAAAGGGACATTACTCAACCCTTTTGTAATGAAATTTGATTGTCTCTCAACATCAAGGTTATTGGCAATAGGTGGAAATTGAACGTCATTGCCCATATTGTACTCATTGCTCTATGTTTGGGCACCTTACTTCTCTCTGTTATCGATTGAATCCCCATCTTAAAGCAAACACTGACCGCCAACCTACTATTCTTCCTGAAATCTAAGATTCTATTGCTCACCAAGGCACATCTACTAATGTTGAGGTTGATAAAGAGTTTAATCCTCCCATGCAAATGTTGATTTGTTTAAAGAAAACTTTGCTTTTACTACTAATATTAATGCACATGCTCAGCAAACATTGCCTGAAGGAAACTTTGATACTACTGACACTGATCTTTTTAATATGCCTGTTGAAATTTCCTTTCCTCCTACTCATAGCGATACCACTCCACATAATGATATCACTTTGGAAAATCATAGGCAGTCAGAAGAAAGAAGAAAGATTTTCTGATCCATCTACCTCCAAAGAAGTCATACATGCCCCATTACAACTTGCTACTAATGCTTTAAAGAATGAATGACAAGTTCAAAACATTCTAGAAAGAAAGATAAAAGAAACAATGAACTTTTTAATCTAAATGCAAACAACATTATACAAGAAAGTATCTACTATTCTGATGGAGAGCAGTTAGACAACCTTTCTAGATCTTCTAGAAGGGCTGACTTTAGACATCATGTTTAACATCATGATCTGAAATATTAGAGGAGTGACAGACCCTTCCTCCCTTAATAGACTCAAACAACTTTGTAGGGTTCATAAAATCTTTATTTTTGTATTTTAGAGTCTCTTGTACACGCTAATAAAAACATGATTGTGAAGAAATTCAAAAGTTATCAGTCTTTTTGTAACAAGAATAAAAAATCTGGATCTTTTGGAAACATTATGTTACATTATCTATTATGGAAGATGATGAACAATTTTTTTTTAACTCAATCTAAGATGAAAGATTTTCATGGGTGTGTCACTTTTGTTTATGCCAGCTCTATTTTGCAAGATAAATATTTACTGTGGTAGAAATTATAACTTATGGGTGATTCCATCAATGAAAATTGGTTTGTGGGTGAGTATTTCAACATTGTTATGAAGCCATCTGAGAAGAAAGGAGGTAGTAGATGTGACAATACTCTCATAAATCAGTTTTGTAACTCAATTGCAGGGGCTGGACTTTTTTGAATTTGGCTATTATGGGTCACCTTATACTTTGAGAAGATGATTACTTTTTCAAAGGCTTGATCGATACTTGAGAAACTTTGCTCTCCTGAATCATTATTCTATCATTCGGGTCCAACATCTAAGCTATGCATCTTCTGATCATAACTCCATCCTACTCACTTTAGCCTTTAATGTCAAACATTCTATTTCCAGATTTAAATTTCTTAATATATGAACTACTCATGATACTTTTTTGTGTGTTGTGCAACAAACTTGGAAATATGATGGTGCCAGGACACCCTGGTTTATCTTATGACAAATTCACAAAAAGCTAGTTGCTCATCTCAAAAATTAGAATCATCAGGTATGTGCATAATAAAGTGTTGGAGGCTCAGCATAGGGTGGATCAGTTAGAGGCTCATGATATTGACTCACATGCTCTGGTGGAATTGTGACACAAGCTCTTCTTTCTTTATTAGATGCAATCACTTTGGAAAAAAACCTCCTCCAACAGAAAACTAATGATATATTTTTTTATAGTTGGTGATAGAAACACAAATTATTTTCATGTTACCTTAAAACATAAAAGGAACATCAATAGTATTATCAAGATTAAAAATGCTAATGGTCACATTTTAACTAACATAGAAGATATTGGTGAAAGTGCTGTGCTTAGAGGAAGAAGGAGGTAAATTCAAATGGATGAGGTGTTGGATAAAATTAAATCTAAAATAAATGACCGGAGAAACATTTTTTTTGTCCAATGGTGGTAGGCTTACCTTGTTAAAAAGTGTGTTGTGTAGTCTACCTTTATATGCTATGCAAGTTCTTAAAACAAAGAAGAGCACCCAAAAAACTCTTGAAGTGTTCTTTAACAAATTTCTTTAGAATGATACTCAGTCTAGCAAAATTTGGGTTAATTGGAAAAAGATTAGCAAACCTATCTCTTCTGGGGGACTTGTCTTTAAAACTTTAAAACATATTTTTGATATAAACATGTGTAAGCTCTGATTTAAATTTAGAGCTGGGGATTCTCTATGGGCTCAATTTATATATCACAAGTATTGCACTTTTATACACCCATCCTTTATTATATGGAAGGTGAGGGATTCTAAAATCTGGAAGGCTATCATACTTGTTAGAAATGTGACTTCTCATTTCATTTTCTAGGATGTGGGTGATGGATATATTTCTTTTTGACATGATCATTGTGCAACATCAAATTTTACAACTTTCTCTCACTTAATAACTGACACCAACTTACTTGTTTTTGATTGTTGGATGAATGACAGCTCGAATCTACCTAAGCTTGTCTCTTTAGTTGGGGAGGAAGCCCCCTCTATTGCTAAAATTCAATGTGAATACTAGGGATGTTCCTTTGTGGAAATTTCACTCCAGAACTTCTATTACTAAAATGCGTTATTCCGATTTACATAAATTTCCACATTGGAAATAGAGTTCTTCTATATGGCATCAATATATTTCTCCATCCATCTCTTTCTTTCTATGGAGATTTTTTTCAAAATTTATTGTCACTTGATCTTATTCTTAAGATGAAAGACTTGAGACTTGTCTCTTATTACTATAACTGTAAGAGGGATGCTGAGTCTCCTTATCATTTATTTTATGCATGCCCCTTTGCCACAAAAGTGTGGAATAAAGTTGGGAGCTATTTTGGAATTGTTTGACCCCCCCTTTTGAGCTTGGAAAACATACTTGCTATTTGGG